CCCTCCAGTACTTAGTTTTAATGAAATAATCTATATCGATAATGAGATCAAAATCGAAACTGATATTGTTTCCTTTTGTAGAGAAGTACAAGAAATTTCATGAAGAAACAGTTGGTTATATATCTTTTGTTCAATTTAATATACATTCGAAACCCGCTATCGTGAATACGATTTTTAATGAATGGACATTTTGGTTCCGTGCTATTTTATATGGCCATAGCGAATTTTCAAATTCTATAAAAATCGGATGTAATGAACTTTGTGGATATCTTGATATATCTTCGTGGATGACAAATTTTCGTATTTTTCAATCTTTTTAAAGAATTACTGTAACTTTCAGCTGAAAAATTACTCTTAAAATGAACTCTTAAATTCATGCTGTTTAGGATATTAGAATAACGAAAAACGCCTTTAGGTTTCTGTTCTTTTATCTCCCCACCATCCAGGGGCATAGCTAGAATTTCCCGCGCCCGGGGACAACTGAAGAATTTACGCCCCTTTCTGTGTGCCAAGAATGGAAAACATTTCCTTAAAAAATTTCGTAGCATTAGTTTGGCGCCCCTTGGATGCTGCGCCCGGGGATAGATGTTCCCCCTTGCCCCACCCTAGCTACGCCACTGCCACCATCTTTCTGTGCATTCTATAGAAAAGGCAGATGTAGCAGTTAGTTCTTAGAAAATCAAGAAGCAGAGTAAGCATACCTTAGGGTAACCTTCAGTGTCACTCACTGAGCCAAGAAACGGCTGGTCCATTGAGATAAAGAGCTTGAATCGGTTCTTTGATTCCATTCGAATTATGAATAAGTATCAGCCTTGAACAGAATGCTGAGTCGTCAGACAGCATTCTGTTCAAGGCTGATACTTATTCATAATTATAAATGGGCATTTTAGATGAAAATGTATAACTGAAGAGAATGGCTCTAAACCATAACTTTTATTCTAGGTAATTTGTCGCATAAAGTTATTAAGCTATGGAGAAACTGGAAAATAACGAAAAAAGAAATTTAGCAATTCACAAAATAATAATCGTAATTAACTTTTAATATGTTTAAAAAGTTAAAGTTACTATTAGCATCTTATGGGAGATGTGACAATGCTAATCACGTTTTCTATGCGATTCACCAATCAATTTTTATACCAGTTTGTAAAATGATCTATATTTTTATTTTCAAACCAGATGTAAGGAACACTAAATACCGTGAGCCAAATTTTTGGTTCCTTGATGTTTGTTACAGCACGGTTTGAGTGCAAGTCGAAAAAATTTTAAGCATTTCTAGGTCCTCCCCCCCCTTCCAAAAAAATGCTGCCAAATAACTAATAAGAACAAAAGTATTATTGAACGCAAGAAATAGGAATAACATATGTACAGCACTGTTTCATCATCCAAAGAGAGCAAAAGACTTGAAATCTCAGAGATAGTGGCAGTCATGATAGTGCGTTCAAGTCTTAGTAGTGCCGAACTCTTAGCAGTAGTAGGAACAGAAGGTAATAAAGTGAAGAATAATGATCACTAGTTACTACTTGGTCACCATTTGTATCTGTCAGATCTCTACGTCTAGAGTTTCTTCAGTTCTGTCTTTTGATACTGCCACAGTATCAAAAGTCAAGGCTCATCATCTACTATAGCACGTGAGAAAGCCTTATGCGTAGCATACTGCCGTATATTTGACTATTAATTATACAATAAGTACTATTTCTTTTAACATGCAATTCTTCATAGGTAACCAAAATATCTCTCAAAACTGCTCTTTTGCAGTTAAAGTCATTTTTTATCTGCAATCATCACTTAAAACAAACAGTGAGCAATATTTTCTCTTTTCGCCATTCTTTTTCCCTAAAAGTGGAAATCCTCATTTGGTTTGTTTCGTGAATTGAGAAAGATATACTGGCATTCCACTGCTGGACACCGTGGGTGAAGGACGTTTGTACTGAGTGCTCTTCGTGTGGTGACTTCGCGTTCTTTTTGTGTTTGCGAACGATTTCGATTTTGTGCTTTATTTTCTCAATTAGAGTATGTGCTTCTTGCAGGGCATTGCTATGGCTTTAAAGGGTGTTCCTGATGCTGGTACGAATTCGGATAGTGATTCAGACAATGGTATTCTTGAACTGGAATTTAGTGATAAAGATGAGTTATTACAAGATTTATTAGACAAAGGTGTTTTCTACCAGGCGGACTTTATTAATGCAGAGAACTTTCTTCACATGGATGGAAAAATAGGATTTAACCGTGTGGCCAGTGAAACATTCTTAAATGATAATCCTCAAGTGGACAGGATTTCTCATCATATGATTCTTGAAAGACAAACAACCGGAAACAAATAGAATTAGCATCCTTAGAGGTAAGTGCATTAGATGTAAGGCGCGTAATAAAAAAATTGAAAATCCTAGTAACAATGTGACTGTTGTAACTGTTGACAGCGGTAATAGTTCGTATTGTTATGTAGTAAAAAAACGCTGATAATTCTAATCTAGATTGCTATTAAGAAACCAATTAACCCTTTCCGTCGCGCTACCTTTTGGAGTTTTGATTAAAAAACGTAAGCAGTCTAATTAGGTCTACAGGAGTACACAAGTAAAATTTTGTGAAGATAGCGCTTATCATTTTAATTCTGTGCGTGTGCCAAAGTGGGCACACTGATTGAATAGAGCTTCGAAAAAGAATGCTGAAACGAGCATTTTTGTCAATGAACTGATCGAAGAGATGCGGAAAAAATAAAGAATACAGACTCTCAGTTGTCCTAGATTATCGGTGAGCCCAGTCTGGGCATACCTAGGGTTCGCCGTTTGATTTTAGGCAAGATTTCAAGGCAAAAATTTTAAACTAATATAGAATAAAAAGATTAGCATACAGCCAAAAAAATAACATAGAAATTTCTTTTCAAACCATTCCTTTTATATCCTAAAAAAAATCTGGGAAGATTTCTTTGAAAATTGAGGATCTTAAAAAACTAAACATGGCTAAAATATATGGACTGGTTTGTGTTGAGCTGCCATCTACTATAAATAAAGAAGGTTTAGAGTAACCTATAGTAACCTATAAATCCTTCTTCATTCAATTTTTCTGTGCGTACAGAAGGAAATTTTTAGGTGTGTTCACACCGGACACACTGTGCCGCAAAGGGTTAAGGTCGTTCTTAGAGACCTTCCTTCAGATTGCCCACCTGAAGATCCACAGGAGCTGTTAGAAGAAGGTTTTAATGTGATCAAGGTAGGTCCGACATACCGATTTCGAACTAGAGGCCCCATGCTCTTTTCCAAGTTCATTCTTTTAATGAGCTTGGATCCCAAGAGTATCTATGAGATTAAACAATTAATGTTTTTCGATATTTCTGTGGATGCTAACAGATTTAAACGCAGTGTGGCCCACTGCTACAAATGTCAGTATTTTAACCACTCTTCAGAACAGTGTAAGTTAGCCCCTCGATGTGTGAAGTGCTTCTTACCGCATAAAATTTCGGAATGTGAAGCCAAGTGAATTCAAAAACTTAGATTCTGTAATTATGGACAGTCACATGCTGCAAACCTTAAGAAATGACCGAAAAATACAGCTAATCTCAAGAAAAAAATTCTATAATAAGGAAAATAACTCGCTAGCTGACATTCCTCGACCACGTGGTGAGCCTCCTGACCAAAAAACTGCAGAAAGTAACTAGAATTCTCCTCTTAGGGATAGAATTAGTCAATGTAATGAAAATGTTAAATCTTCGGAATATTTAGAAATTAGCTCGAAACCTCTTTCTGAAGGTCTGTCCAAGAAGAAAAATTCAAGAAATTGTAAATTCGCTGAGCAGATTTCTTTGCAAAGAATTGAAAGCCCAAAAATAACTCCAAAAGTATCTTTCGTGCTGTTAATGATTTCATTAATATAATCAAAAAAATTATTGCCTCCCCCCCAATTTCCGATTATGGATATTCTCAGAACATTCGCTGAAGGATTGAATGAAATTATAAATGTTCAAATCCTATAGATAAATTATTCATAGTGCTTAATATTTTTGAGGAAATCTTTAGCGGGAATTCTCCCACCAACAAAAAAAATTAATCTCACTTTATTGTCTAGATCAGCGATTTTCAACCGGTGGTACACAAATAAAGAAAGTATTTTTAACTATTAAGTTCAAAAATCTCTTGAATTAAAAGAACAACTGATAGAAATTTACTGTGATCGAACTCTAACTGAAGATTTCAAAAACATGTTACACTTGTTAACTTTTGGCTGAACCGAAAAAAAGATTTTAAATGCATCTCAAATAAAGCTATTAAATTTTTATTGCCTTTTTGCACAACCTATTTGTGTGAACAAGGATTTTCTTCCACATTTTATTTGGAAAATAAATACAAAACAAAATTAAAAGTGGATCCTAATTTACGCTTAAATTTAGGCGAAATAAGGCCAGACATAAAGAAATTGATCTATCTCTCTTAACCCTTTGCGGCACAGTGTGTCCGGTCTGGACACACCTAAAAATTTCCTTCTGTACGCACAGAAAAATTGAATGAAAAAGGATTTATAAGTTACTATAGGTTAATCTGAACCTTCTTTATTTATAGTAGATGGCAGCTCAACACAAACCAGTCCATATATTTTAACCATGTTTAGTTTTTGAAGACCCTCATTTTTCAAAGAAATCTTCCAGATTTTTTTAGGGTGTAAAAGGAATTGTTTGAAAGATATGTATATGTTATTTTTTTAGCTGTATGCTAATCTCCTTATTCTATATTAGTTTTAAATTTTTACCTTGAAATCTTGCCTAAAATCAAACGAACCCTTGGTGTGCCCAGACCGGGCTCACCGATCATCTAGGACAACTGAGAGTCTGTATTCATTGTTTCTCGCATCTCATCGGTCAGTTCACAGACAACAATGCTCATTTCAGCACTCTTTTCGAAGCTCTATTCAATCAGTGCGCCCGCTTTGGGCACACCACATAATTAAAACGATAAGTGCTATCTTCACAAAATTTTACTTGTGTACTCCTCTAGGCCTAATTAGACTGCCTATTTTTTTTTTTTTTTTTTTTTTTTTTTTTTTTTTAACCAAAACTCTGACTTTAAAAGGTAGCGTGCCGGAAAGGGTTAAACAGACCCAAATTTTGCACTAAATTTTAGAATGATAATTAAAATGGTTACCAGTTTTTAATCTGACGTTTTTATGTGTGCATATATAACACAAATAGTCAATAAAGTTGTGCAAAAGGCAATATATATATATATATGTTTTTTTTTTAATATTTCCATTGAGAATTTGAAAAATAATCATTGTAAAATGCAGTGATGGTACTCAAGTTTTTAAATTTTTTTTTAGATGGTACGCGTTAGTCAAAAGGTTGAGAACCGCTGGTCTATATTATATCATACATTTTCGAAAATTTTTCGCATACGTGGTTTATTGGCAGCTTGGTGTATTTTCGTTTGTTTTGCGTGCTATTTCTCATGAGGGTCGGTTTCAGATATTGTATTGCATTCTGAATCTTGAGTTATTTTTATATTGTTGATTGCAATTTTTGATTTATTTCTGTAGGGTGTATTAGGTACCCTTTAGGTAATGTTGTATTCAGGAACTTGTATGTAGTATTGTGGTCTCTATTCGGCCTTCTATTTTTTTGGGATATTTTTTTCAGACTTTGTATTGCACTTTGTATTTAGTTTCGCTTTGTTCATATTTATGTCACGTATCTTAGTAATACACTGGCTTTATTTTTCTTTATATGTACTTTCTGTTCACCTTCTCAAAGCTTGTTCAACTTGTTTTTGGACTACTATTTTCAGTGGCACTTGTGTTTCAGTTATGGTACCTAAGTTCGATATCCTGTTAACACCACTCGCATCCCATAATGCTCATTAACCATATTTTACCTTTGAGTGATATTTTCGAAATGGACAAATTTCTCGAGGGAGGTAAGTTTCCCGAGAACCGGGTACTCGGTTGATACACCACTCGCAGTGAAACCAGAAAGATCCTAAGAGATCTTTCGGGAAAAGCGGAAGTGGCTTAAAGCGAACCTTCGCAAAGTGAGGTATAACCGTGCTTCTCTTTTTATGTGTTTATTTATATTTAACATTTATTTATTCCTATTCGTAATCTAACTATATGCAAATTCTTTTCAAAGAATAAAAACATGATATTCCAGTTGAAATATAATTACATTTTAAGTATAACGTTATAGAAAATAACATCGGCAGGTTAAAAAGTTATACAAAGCATTTATTTTCTATTTAGTCATAAACTCACTGAGCAGCCTTTTGTGCCTTTTGTTTTCTTTTAACAGTTTCTAATATAAAATCAGCTGCTTTCTCTGCAAGCATCAAAACAGCAGCATGAGGATTGCCGGAAGTATGATGAGGAAATGCAGAACTGTCAACTACCCTCAAACTCTTGACCTTGTGTAACCTAGGGGGGAAAGTACCAATTAGAAAACGTTTTTTGAAATAAAAAAGTTACTAAAATAATTTATATTCGAGTTGTAGCGTTTATGATTTTTTTGATACTATATGAAATCAGCAACTTATCTATTGTTTCTGCATTAATTATTTTCTCCTTTCATCTTTCAATAAAATCCTGTAATGCTGCATTTTTATTTCAAACTTTCTCTGTCGGTCTCATTGCCAGTATCCCTATCGGTCTGATGCAGAGCTTGAGCTAAGAACTCAAAAATGAGAATATTTATTTAGCGGCAAGATTGAGGACCTCTGCTTATCCTTTTATTAAACATTTACCTATATGAATAGATGTGTTGAACTATAGATTTATCATACAGCATAAATGTGGAGAGGCATCTCGTACAGCATAAATGTGGAGAGGCATCTCATACAGCATAAATGTGGAGATGCATCTATTAGTAATGTTTCAAGGAGCTCAAATTAATCTTGCATTCAGTCGAATTTAATTATATCACCGACGATAGGAGCCTATATGATTTCAATTTCATTGCGCCATATGACAACATCATGGACAGTATGGCACAATCACAATAATTTCTGCTTATTTGTCACGCGATACTAGAATAGATGTTTTAGTAAACTTGCAGCTGATGTTTGAAATGGTCCGAGCAGACATTACAAAAATGATTAACGGTTATGCATACGGATTGCTTGGGGAAAATGCAACAGTCATTCACAATGCTTAAGGTGTATAGAGATCCCTCAGAATCTCGTCCCGTGAAGAAGCACAGATCTTCATCCTTGGGCGAGTTAACTGGCACTCAAAGCATCAAACAGTTTAACAAAAGGAGAGAACTCTGATTGGATTCCAAAATACTAATTTCTAACAGTGACGATTTTCTTCCAAAACTACCTTTCAGGGAAATCTTCCTAAGAAAAACTTGGAATAATGGGAAGTTTTCATTTCAAGAATGGCTTTCCAGTGGTTGAGATACTTTTAGATGTATTTAAGGCTATAAACTACTGCCAATTCGTTCTAAATTCGGTTCCCAGTGACTACGTGGAACTTTTTTACCCCACGGTGTTCAATCTTCAAGGGCTTGCCAAAGTGGATTAATTAGTCTCTGAGAATAAAAACTTTTCTATTAGCGAAGGCTGAACTGAAATGGTTAAGGAATGGAACTAAAAACCCTTTTCCCCTCAACTCCCTTTTTCCTTCACCTCTTTTTGGAAGAGAGCCAAAGCTTGCATGATGACATTATCATGACTGTTACCTAGTAGGCAGTAGTACCTGTTTACGCTGTTTCATGAAGATAAAATCGATGCCTTCGTAATACCTGAGTTTAGAGTCCAGAACGGCCATTGGGTCATCTTGGGGTCCCATAGCGCATGAGCCAATAGGATGATAGGCAGTGATTCCAGAGGTCCTGAGCCAACATTCTAGGTACCGATCGTCATCCAAGCTCTGATTGAAGGCAGTACACGCTGAGTATCCAGGCAAATGAAGACGAGCACCCAATCTGCGGAGAGGTTCTGTGGTTCCCAGTCTGGCTGCCACTTTCATAGCTGTTAGAAATAAATAGAATATGGTAAAACATTTTCCATCTTGGATTGCTTATAAATAAAGTATATTATGAGCTTTTTTTCTCTTTCTACTCACTTATACTATAAAAATAGTATTATTGTTTTTAGTGCAATGTAAATATACTTAGTTTCCAATCTGGAACTGAAACTAACACAAGCTAAATGTCCGTTCACTTGCGGATAGAATTAGAGCCTTTAAACAAAAACTAAGTTAAATCGAATAAAATTCACAGTAGCAGCCAAGCCTAACTTAAACATTGGCTTTCCCTAACTAATCGCATGTGAAGAATGGGAGTAAGTGAATCTTTGTCAGTAAGCTAATGCAAATAGTAGAAACTTAAGCTACCAAATGCTGTCAAATATATTTTGAAAGTAACTTGTATTTTAAACCAGTTTGCAATAAAATTGATTAAGGGAGAAAAGCCGAAATGATAAGATATTATTAAAATAAAATTCTTATCATTTAAAATTAAAAATAGAAATAAAACAACATAACTGTATACTTTAATGTACTCAGAAGTTACCTTGTTTTCCTTTAAAACTTTGTGCAATGATATTGTTCTTTCACATTAAACAAAAATATAAAGTATTAAAATTTGAGTTTTTCAAACTGACTTAATTAACTTTTCCATAGTAACTAAGTAACTGGAAAAAGCTAAATGAAAAAAGTATAGAATGCTGTATTTTTACGTTTACCTATAAAAGCAATCGCAGAAATGCATTTATAAAAAGTATGGAATGCTATATTTTTACGTTTACGTATAAAAGCAATAGCAGAAAATTTATACGTTTGGCATACATAAATATTCCACAATAATCAATTACTAAAATCGTTCTGTATCTGTAAATTGCCTTTTAATGTCAGAAACGTTGAGTTTAACTTAATGAAATTTCTACTTTTGTCTTATTTCTATAATGTTATACGGGAGTAAAATTGGTATGGCTTTACTGGACGTTTCTGGTATTAAATCGGTAGACTGTTGATACAGACTGCACTTTAAAATTTATTTTCAGTTGTTTATTTACTCTTTATCTATATAAATAACGTATAAATTATGTCATACATATGCATAGCATTTCTTTTTTTGTTCATTTGGCTATTTTAGAACGAAATTGCAACTTTATAAGGTATTTCTTCCGCTTTCTTAGCATGTCTTTGCGGTGTAATGGTCAGCACACTTGGCGCGTATTCGAGAGTTCCGACGTTCGAGTCCCGGCGAAAGCATTTATCATTTTTCATATCTTTAGCATCAAAATAACCTAATGTCTCAACACTCTTTCTTTCATATTGATTCCCAAACTTCATTACTGCATAGCCTTCATCTGTGAAGGCCATTAGTGGTCGAGTGGTTAAGACCGCTGAGTAATGGTAGTTCGACCTGGCTTGGGTTCAAACCCAAGCGAAGGGGCTGGCTGCATGGTTTGTTTTCGTGGTTTTCTCCATGTGTAACGGTGAATATGAATCAATTTCGCTCAGAAAGCCTTCCATGAAGACATCCTTCCTCTTAGGCAGATAGGCAGATTAGGCTTTGCCACATTATAATAACCTAACCTTTAGCTGTGGAACATGTAAAGTGGAGTAACTTTTATCTCTTTACTATTTAAAGTATTGTATCATCTCTGTTATTAAATAATGAAGAATCTTTGTACAATAATGAAGAATATATATGTATATGCATATATGTTCTGCGCATTGTAGAAAAATGGAGTCACCTATAGCCAGCAAATATTGAACATATATGGTAGTTCTCATCCCCCTCTCCAAATATGTGTACCTTGAAGGCCGAATTTTGATTTTCGAATTTGTTCTTTATTTATAGGCGAATTTAAGGAATTTTGATTAAAAACTCATTCAAATTTAACCAGAAAACTCAGCGATGTAAAAGAAGTGTGTCACTATTCGGCTAATCGTTGAATTTATACTTCGAGTTTAATCAACAACTCAGCCATTTAATAGCCCACCAGCGGCCGAGCGGTAAAGTCGCTGAACACTGGTAGTTCGGTCCGAGGTTCGAATCCCGCGAACGGGCCGGCTGCATGGGCGTTTTCGTGGTTTTCCCCATGTGTAACGTGTATACGAGCCAGTTTCCCTTAGAAAGTCCTCCACGAAGGCATCCCTTCCCTTAGGCAGATAGCCCTCGAGGCTTTGCCATAATCACACACACACACACACACACACAGCCATTTAATAGAATGTGTCGCTACTGCTCGATTTGAAGCATTTTTTCTTTCACGCGGCAGTGTGTTGCCGTTCAGAAAAGTGTAAAATAATATTTAGTTTTTCTTTCAAATCTTTTCTGTTATTAATTAAGAAACAGCACGATTTAAAAGCAATTAAAGCACATTCATTTCAGTCATTTTTAATTACTGGCCGGACCCGTGAAATTTATTTAGCTGACTTCATTAAAATCATTATACATATTTTTTATGACATTTAATGTGGATTTTTCAATTGAACTAAAAGTTGGAGAAGGATTGGATAAACTTCTCGCAGCCACTCGCTGTTTAAGTAGTAATTTTACCTCGTTCTTATTTTTAACGCAAGTTTTGAAGAGTGCAGTTCGAGTTTAACAGTTATGTTTTCGTGACAAAGAAGCATATTCAGCATATTTTGTTATATATAACATATAACATATTTTTCATTAAGAGTTCAAATAAATAACTATTAAGAGGATCTAGAAATTCCGAGTTGTATGACAAGTTTCTTTCTGGAAGATCTGTAGAGTTCGACGAGGACATCTTGCAAACCCTGGTGGAACAAAATGCTAGAATTGTTTAGGAAGTAGCAGAGGATGAAGGAGACTATATTTTAGATTAAAAATTACATTGTTTATCTTAATTTGAAAAATAAAAAAGAAGTATATTAAGAAAAGCACCGCATTATTTATCGGATGACTTTTAGGTAGTCTAAAAGTTAGCATACATGTAGTTAGAATAGCGTATCGCTGACCGATTAGGAGAAAGCGTGCATTATAGTACGTTTAGTGTTGTGCACAAATGAAGAGCAACGACTTGCAATCCGTTTTCTGTGGGCTAGAAAAACTTGGATTAAAACTTACAGACATACATATTTTTATCTTCTTGATGACATAAAAGTAGTGGTTGTAAGGTTTCTTTTCTGGTTTTTTTTTTTTTTTTTTTTTTTTTTTTTTTCCTCATTCCATACTGAGATGAAATTTATCTTCCCTGCTTTATGAAATAAAGCAAAAAGCTAATGCTTCGATACAACAGTCAGTCAACTGTAGATGGCTGTAAGGTTTCTTTCTTTCTTTTTTTGTTTCCATTTCATACTGAGATGAAATTATTTTCCCGAACGTAATTTAAATAAAGCAAAAACCAAGTTCTTTTTAACAAAAATCCAACTTTAAAAACATGGATAAATTTGTAAACATATAATTACTTCATCTTAAACGGAACTACAGGTACAATTTTTATATCAAACTCTTAGAATATTCTTCTGAAATTGCCATTCAGGCAAACATAACTCTGTTCCTTTTATTTGTGGCTCTCGATATTTTACTGCCCTCGAAAATCATTTTAATCTTATAGTTCACAGAACCGTTTAGTGGCTATGTGAATCGAAAACAGATTTTTATGAACAAAGTATACTGAGACTGATGCCACGATGGAAGGAGTCTTGGGTCATATGCTGAAACATAGCTAAGACGTGTAGATATACATTCTTTGTCAGAAAAGTTCCAGGACAATTTTTTTTTAAATTTCTGAGTTTGCAGTACTAAAGAGGAAAAAAATCTTGTTTTTATGTTACCTGGTATGTATTCTTACTTGAAATGACCTTGGCCATGTGTCCGCGCAGACTTACTAGGTGGCAGGGATTACCAACATACTGTTCGGATTGTTGTCGCATTCGTTAAGGTGACAAATGGATGTTGATTGTGAGCAAAGCGTGAACATTAAGTTCTGCGTTAAGCTCGAGACTTTCCCTAGTGAAATATGGCACATGATTAAACAAGCATATGCAGATGAGATACTTTCAAGAAGTCGAGTTTTCGACTGGCATAAAAGTTTAAGTGAAGGCAGAGATTCTATGCAAGACGATCCCAGCGCTGATACCGATGCGTGGAGCATTAAGGCAGTTATTGCAAGAAGACCGTCATGTAACTGTGCGTATGATATGATAATAACTGAATTTAAATCGTTATGTCTGTCATAAGATTTTACGCGAAGATTTAGGGAAACAGAAACTTAATGCAAGAATCGTGCCTCACTCACTAACAGATGAACAGAAAGAGAAAAGAGGAAGAATTTCTGCTAAACTATTGGATAGAGCCAGACGTGATCCCACATTTGTGTCCAAGATTATTGTGATTTTTTTCTTGTGAGTGAAAAGGTAACTGAAAAGAAAGCTTCATCAAGATTATCGCAGACATCCAACAGGTTGTAACAAATGAGTTTGCAAGCATCGCAGTTAAAGATTTCCCCGCTTGCTTCCAAGATCTCCAGAAAAGTTGGCAGTTGTGTATAGATAACCAAGGAGACTACTTTGTTAGCAGCTAGGATCATTACTTGGTAAATGCAATTTTCCATTTTTTTTACAAACTTTGTCCTGAAACGTTTCTGACAAAGGATGTATATTAACCATTTTTCATCTATTATTTTTTTAAAAAGTTGCATTAATTTCAGATTTTCATTCATAGTAAGAGTTAAATGCTTACCTTTAATGAGACATTTGACATCTTCTGTCTCACTTAAGTAATTAGGATCAATGAGGGGAGCGTCCAAGAAGTTAACCGATTTCAGAAAGATTTTTCCTTTGCTGACTGGATGAGTACATGAAGCCAACATAATGAAGCCTTCTTTAGAATCATTTTTTGAATCGGGAAATGTTTCCACGAAGGCCTAAAAATAACTTACTTCTGTTCCAATCAGTTGTTACACAGCAAGTAAGAAGAAGCACTGATGTAATCATTTTCAAAAGACACATGAAGGAAAAATGAATTCCACTTACATCTTTTTTGAAGTTTGCAATGGAAGTGAAGAGCGGTTCATTTACAGAGCCCAAGTTGAACAGCGTTAAAAACAATTTATTTCCATTTTCGCGATCTCCAGTAGATGGCAGGCGTACCACAGCCTCCACTCCACTGTGAGCCAAGAAGCCTGTGTGCAAAAGAAAGGGAATCATTCAAAACAAAGGAAAAGCTAGTCAATCCAAAATAAATACGAACTATAAAAAAATTGTTGTGTACTGCTGGTCTGTAGCGATCTTAAGTAACTAGGCCACGTAAACAGGAGAATTCGAAACTTTATTCTACTTGAGATTAATAAGTTTCGCTGGCAACATAAACGGCTAAAAGTAGCTTAAATAAACACACATATAGGGTAAAATTTTCCAAAACACAGGAGAAATACCATAGATCACAAGGTATAAACCTGTTATCATCAAATGGTGTGCTCAATAGCATAACAGTCTACAAAGGCTCTGAACTGAATTTTAGCTTCATACAGTCTCACGTTCTGTATGTGACAAAGTCCAGTTTCTAATGAAACAATTCGATGGTGGGTTCGAAGCGCGGAAATTTCAATCTCGACGAGGATGTCAGCTCTGGACGACAATACTCTGTAAACAGAGAACTATTAAAAGAAGCTGTCTTTAAAAATCCACGTCATATAGGAACTATCAAATGGATTAGATATTCCGATAGACCCAGTCTTCTTCAAATGATAATGTACCGTGCTGTCAGACAGTATGGTACATAATCATTTGAAGAAGATTGGGTATGTAAGTCGCTATATGGATATCTCGTATTTTAACCGAGCAAAAAATGCTTACTCGAGCCTCAGTATGTGAATCCTTGCTGAAATAAAATTAAAGAGTTCTTTATTTTATTATTCAAGCAGCTGAATACTGCAGATGAGAAGGGGATACTCAGCAACGTTACAATAAAAAGACCAAATGAACCTCTTTCAGTCATATCGAGAGGGCTGCTTCGCAAAAAAAGAATGCTTTGTGTATATTGAGATTACAAAGGGATTGTACACTATTAATTGTTTCTTCCAAATCAGACAATGAAGTCGGGGAAATATTCTTCCTAGATGCAGTTTTAAAAGAAGATATTGGAAGAAAGCACCCAGGTGTTGTTTTCCAACATGAAAATGCATGGTCACACATTTCGATGAATATCAGACAAAAACATGTTGAGTATGCCTAAGATGTTTTTCGTCCCTCATTCACCCATAATCACTAGACTTTGCTTCCTCAGATTTTCACCTCTTCAGATCACTTCGAAATTTTCTGAAAGGCTTGATGTTCACTTCTTTGGAGACAAACAAACAGCACATCGGTAACTTCTTTATGAATAAACCTAATGACTTCTTTTAAAATGAAATTTTTCATGTCACCAGAGCCTAGTAGGAGACCCCTATCTGTATCTCCTGTTATACTTGATATATGTGCATAATTTCAATATCAATCGTTTCAAATTTAAAAAAAATAATAGTAGGGGATCCTCAGATCCGTTTTTCGGTGAGTTTTCCATCATTTGGGCGGATTTGCCACCTTATCACAACATTCTTAGGGACAAGAAGTTTTTTTTTTTTTTTTTTTTTTTTTTTTTAAGCATATTTTGTTTATATAATACAACTGCCTTTTCTTTTACTTAGGATTTGATAAAGAATGACATCTTGCATTCAAGAACTTTTTAAACGTTGTTTTTTCTGTCATCCCGTACATTTTTGCGTGTTATTTTATATAACTCTATTTATAATTATATGTATCTAATTATAAAATAAATAGTCGTAGTCTTTTAAGTTTATTCTATGTTCTAATTATATAGAGTAGTAGTAAAATATAATATATGTAAAATATAATCCATTTTATATATAATTATATAATATTCATATTAGGTCCCAGGTAGTTGTAAAGAACAAAGAAAACACCTGCAAAACCTATTTTCTAAATTAGGTACACGTATGAAGCATCAATATACGAACTTATAAAGTAATACAGGAAATAAACACAGACAAAACAAATAACTATCACAGATTCAAAGTTAAACAAAATAAGCAATCAATGGTCAAATTATCCTCCAAACTCAACTAAATATAAATAAATAAAAAATCTGAAAGGGTTCAGACTTTAATAGTCGTCCAAAAGGGCTCTTTTAAAGTTTAATATGGTTTACTATTAGTCCAAAGGGGCTTTGTCCCCGAAGGACTATTGTTTTCGTTTGGCGTTGGTTCACTATAAATGTCCATTTCACTTTTCAAACTGTTGCCACCAAATGTTAGAGTCCTGCAAATTATGCTTGACGAAATTAATTAATGAAAAATCTGCATAAATGTATGTATATTTCTCGCATTGTGATAAAACAACGGTACATAGAGCCATCGAATTTTGAATGACGTAATCCTACTGCGAATATGGGCATGTGGAAGCCCAAATTTAAAATTTGGAATTTGTTTTATTATCAATTTCATATTTTGTAAAACTTTAGAGAGTTTCTGATTAACAAACTCAAGGATTTCAAAGCGAGCCATGGCAACGTTGTACAGAAAAAAAAAAAAAAAAAATTATCTCCAGCGCGCGAGACTCTGTTTCGGAAATTCGAAAGGATACGCACAAATTAAAACTATTTTGAGATATTGCTTTTCAACTGAATTTTATAGTGTAAGTGCGAAGAACGTGATATTTAATAAATAAAGGTAATAGACAAAACGTTAAAAAACGCCCATTTGGACTTAATTTAAAATCTGAAACCTTTCAGATTTTCTTTTTATTATTATTATTATAAAAGCACAGCCCCGATCCTCGTAGCCGGCACAAGCCGGCCGTGTGATAAAAAAATAGGACTTGCCAGAAAAAAAAAAAAACAAGTATAAGAAAAAGCAAATAAAGTCGAAAATCCGAGTCTCAGTGCCGAATTCCAATTCTGTCTTTGTTCATATTTATAATCTTCATTATTGTCTCTGTAAAATCTTTCAAATTTGAATAGTTCCTTTTAAAATATTCCTTAATATTTATATATTAAAATTTTATATCATTATATTTCCTTACTATTTATATAAAATTTAATATATATTTTATATGGTTTATCAGTAGAGATTATAAACAGAGATAGCCCACGTGGAAGAGAGAAACATTTTAAAGAATACTCGATGAAGATACATTTAGACTTAACTGGAACGTTGTATATTTTTTATATTTAAAAAGTGAAAAAATATGTATTTGTATATTTAATGTTTTTAATTAGATATATCAGGAATTTTATTGCGTTTTTATTAAAATCAAGCAGATTCAAACGTTGAATAAAAATTCCTAAAAACTGCTTCTGTTGCTTTTCAGTAGTTTAGTCTGTTAATCTATAACAGATAGACTCAGTTTGAAAGATCAATGTATCAATGTCTTACATTTTGGCGAATGGCAACAGACTCGAATCAAAAGTGAAACAACGCATTTAGAGTGAATCAATGTGAAATCATGTTTGCAGAGTAATCGCTCGTTTGAGCTAACAATAAATAAACAAGCAAATAAAAACAGTACATAACACAAAAAAATTACATAAAAGCCAAATTATAAACAATATTTTAAAATTTTACAAAAATGTGTAACATCGCATTGTTTTGTTATTAATTTGTGTAAGTAATTGTGCATAATCTCTACATATAATAAAAAGAAGAGTCTGTCTGTGTGTGTGTGCTTTCCTTGGTGCTGCGCGTAAGCTAATAGACCCAGGGCTGCGAAATTTGGTACATACAGTGGATGGACAAAAATATGGAAACACCTTATGAAATGCATGTTTGAAAAGAAAGATTGATTTTAATGAAACATGTAGGTGGTGCTGGCGTTTTTGACTACTGACGCCACCTATACAACTTCGTAAATGTGCTAAACAGTTCAGTTGTTGTCGGAGTACTGTTATGTGAGGTTGTCATTGCATTATGCCAGAGTTAACAGACTTCGAACGTGGGCAAATTGTTGGAGCACGTATGGTAGGTGCTTCCGTAAGCAAGGTAGCCGAGGTGTTTAGGGTTTCAAGAGGTACTGTATCGAAGATTTATTCCGCATATTTGAAAAGCGGAAAAACATCATCTGCTAAATCACAGCGAGGACGAAAGTGTGTCCTGAGTGATCGTGACAGACGATCATTAAGGGCAATTGTGACGAAAAATAAGAAGACCACAGCTGCAAAAGTTACTGCTGAAATGAATGTTGTGTTACCGAACCCTGTGAGTACCAAAACAATTAGAAGGGAAGCTTCATAAACAGGGAATTGCTGGCCGTGCTGCAATTGAGAAGCCACTCATCAGTGATGCTAATGCCCGTAACAGGAAAAGGTGGTGTTTTTAAGTCATAAAGCCTGGACTATAGAGCAGTGGAATCGAGTAAGTAATAGGTCTGACGAGTCTTCTTTCACATGTTTCCCACTTCTGGCCGAGTTTACGTCTGGAGAACGCCATCTCAAGCCTATAATACAGACTGCTTGTTGCCAAGAGTCAAACATGGCGGGGGTTCTGTTATGGTTTGGGTAGCCATATCGTGGTTCTCTGCTAGCCCCATGATAACTGTGTCAGGGCACATGACTGCCAAGACTTATGTGAACATTTTGGCCGATCAAGTTCATCCCATGTGTACAAACTTTGTTCCCCGATGGTGATGGTGTCTTCCAAGACGACAAAGCCCCTGTTCCCACAGCTCACATTGTCCAGGACTGGTTTTCTGAGCACGAGGATGAGTTGTCCCATCTCCCCTGGCCACCACAGTCACCAGACCTGAATATTATCGAACCTTTGTGGTCTACATTGGAACGGAAAGTGCGTTCTCGTTATCCACCGCCAACATCGTTATCTGAACTTGCCACCGTTTTGCAGGAAGAATGGTATAATATTCCCTTGGCAAACATACAGGAACTGTATTTATCCATTCCGAGAAGACTGCAAGCTGTTTTGGATGCCAACGGGTTTCCTACACCATATTAAGCAAAGAAACATGTTTTTTTTAAAGGTGTTTCCATATTTTTGTCCAACTCCTGTAGGTGCAATCTAGACAAGAGTCAGTGCACCTTGAAGCAATTTTTTTCAAAATTCGAATCAGATTTCTTTTATTTTATGTTTTTTGATCGATAGCACGCAACCGTTGTTGCTGATATATCTCTGTTGCC